TGGTAAGACAGTGAGATTGTTAGGAAGGCCCAGAAATGCCATAAAACCTAAATGGTTAAAGGAATTTATTGGACGGGGTTAATACATCAGGATATTAGGTTGTTGTTTTAATATTAAATAGTTTTTATTTAAATTTACTAAAGCCAAATGATGACACCTGTAGGGTCATTATTCGATTGTTGGCACCATTTAGGGTATATGTGCTCCTTACCTATTATCATGAAGGGAAATATGAATGCTTATTTTATTATCTTTCTACTCTTTAACTTTAATGGTAGTCTTCATGGTATTTGCAGTAGGTAGTTCTTTTTTCTTCATAACAAAGATTCTATGTGGCAAAGCCAGTTTCATCTGATCTATTTATGGCGTATTATTAAGCCTTTATATCCCTGAATCTTCTTTCTTTATTGCGTGTAACATTATGGTTTTTTTCTCAAAACAGGTGACTGCTGCAAAGGCAGACTTAAATTATATTGGGTTAGATGGAGAAATTGGCTGTATGGTGAATGGAGCCGGTTTGGCAATGGCCACAATGGATATAATTAAACTGCATGGGGGTACTCCTGCCAATTTTCTGGATGTTGGTGGGAATGCCTCTGAAGGTCAGGTAAGTTCTGGAAGTTGGTATTACCATTAACCATTATGATCAACAACATAATTGTTCTTGTGTCCTTACTCCAAAAAGACAATTAAAAGACATCGTTTAATATGAATAATCTCCATCTTATGATTTTTTGTTCATATTTAATGCAATTATGTAATTCAGGTGATTGAGGCATTTAAAATATTGACTGCTGATGACAAAGTGAAGGCAATTTTGGTTAATATTTTTGGTGGTATAATGAAGTGTGATGTTATAGCAAGTGGAATAGTGAATGCTGCAAAAGAGGTTAGTGAAGCTATGACTATATCCACCCCCTCTCCCTCTCTTTCCACAAACAAATATTAAAAGAAAAAACAAAAAAATGGCTAAGTTTTGTTCCTTCTCTGTGCTACCATATTGATGAGAACGAAGATTATTTATCTGTTCAGATTAATTTTTTAATCTTATCTTCATTATCAATTTAGACTATGGTTTTATGTGGATCTTTTTGATATTGAGAGACCAAAGTGAAGCCAAGAAAATGTAAATTCTTTTTATTTGACGTCTTTTAACATTTCAATTTTTGTCTACGATGTTGATGTAAATTGTGGATATTTCAATTTTTGAAATAATGTTTGACATAAAGAACTACTATCATTGTTGTCGATTGAACATAATACCTATTTTATCCTGATATTATAATAGCATTAACTTTTCCTGCGATTGTTCTCAAGGTTGCATTGAAAGTACCAGTAATTGTTCGTCTGGAAGGCACCAATGTTGATCAAGGAAAAAGAATTTTGAAGGTAAATGTTAGATTTATTAATTATATGATATAATGAAAAGTGTTGTTGAAGAGTTGCTTAGTATGTTTTTTATTATCAATGGTTCAACAGGAAAGTGGTATGGCATTAATAACTGCTGAAGATTTAGATGATGCTGCCCAAAAAGCAGTGAAAGCTGCTTACAAATGAAGAGTTGCTTCTCTTTAGATTTAAAATTCGGTTTAGTTATAACATTATTCTTCGTGTTAAAACATTGAGGAGAAAGGGATTGATGCAAGAAAGCCTTAGTGATTTCATTTTGGCTGCACTGCTTATCAAAGAGTTTCCAATAAGTTAGTGATTTCCAACTTTTGTAGTTCGTGTGGGTTGATGCACGTGGATTACTTTTTGGCTTCTCTCACAATTCAAGATACTGGTCCCTTCCTTTCTGATTTTTCCTGGTTGAAGATACTACTCTATAGTATGCATATAACATGGGAAATACTTGTTTATCTATTAGACATGGTCGTTCATTGAGAGGCCAAAACCTGATTCTAAATCGAGGTTATTCAATTTTGGATGTTTAATGACAAATGTCTTTCTTATGTTCTGTTGGCTCAAAATTAAATCACCAGAAATAAGGACAAAAGGAAAAGCGGTTGTAGTAACGTAAAATATGACCAATTCTAACTTAAAAATGTAGGATGCGGCATAATGCAAGTCACACTTTCAAGGATATTAATTTTAAACCAAATAGTATAGGGATTGATGTCAACTCAAACCAAAATCGAAACATAGAAAATTGCAAATAAATATACTTCAATCAAAATTTTTAAATCATGTGATAAGTTTTGTCATTATTCACACAGTAGACACAACTATGTTTTGTATACATCTATGTTAATTCAAATCAAGTAAGCGAAGGGTGTAAATAGACAAAGTTTCACTCAGTTTTGATTCCTTTATAAATCCAATCCAATTAAATATATTAAAGAACACAATTCAATAAGATTCACTAAGCTTCTTAATTATGGAATAGTTCAAACTTATATTTATTTAGACTATATTCACATATTATAATTAAATATCATTTATTAAACTTCTTATGGAATAGTTCAAACTTATATTTATTTAGACTATATTCACATATTATAAATAAATATAAGTAGTTTGGTATAATGATTATTATTTATCATTCCATTATTATTTATTACATTGTTATTATATGTCTCAGGTAAATATTATTCTAATAGGAACATAGACTTATGACCCATATTGATCCTATAAATACTTCTAATATTTTTTGAGGAATACTTACTTCAAAAACACTTATACTTATTATATGTACAAAGATTCTAACTTTTTTACTGACTTGAGTGTTGAAAAGTCTTTTGTAAGTGGTTCTTCTCCCAACAACAAGGAGTCTCTTCTAGACAACGAGAGCTATCAAAATCACGGCTAGAATCTTGCCACCTGTTTGCAAGTGCATGCTCAAGATCCTATTAAGATCATTTGACACTCACCTGGTAAAATGTTTCCCGATCTCACCTCCTTATGGTTACCACCCGAAAGTCTGACCTACTCAGCTATGAGATGGAAGTCAACCAGGTGGTGACCCTCTACGAACAAGTACAAATACTCATACAATAGCACGACGAACAACACAAACAACATGACATCGAGCTTGAGGCCTTACGCATCAATAATAAACCAACTTGTAGGAGCTTTAGCAAAGATTGACCAACCTCGAAAATGAGAGGTCATCTCATCAGCCTCGTCATGACCTTTGAGAAGAAAACCCCTGGAATCATCAAACAAGGTATAACTAGCCAGCTCGATGAGATTCAAGTGGGAGTCGGGACCGCTCCCTTCAACACCGAGCTTAGGGAGATCGAAGCAGGTTGACCAAGCATGGGGTAGAAGGAACCTAAGGATGCTCTCGCCACTCAACAAAGATTTGCAAGAAGAGATTTATATGGAGCAACCTCCAAGATTTATTTCTTAAGAGGAGTCTTCTGAGTTGGTATGTCGTCTTTTGGGTTATTATGTCGTCTTCGCAAATCCTTATATGGCCTAAAACAATCTCCTATGATATGGTTTGGAAAATTTAGTAACATTGTTCAACAATTTGGTATGACTTGATGTGAGATAAATCATTTAGTCTTTTACTGTCACTTGAGTGTTGGATGTGTCTACTTGATAGTATATTTTGATGATATTGTTCTTACAGGTAGTGACAATCATGTCATCTATCAAAAGAAACAACATCTTTGCAATCATTTTCAAACCAAAGATCTTGGTAAACTTAGATACGTGTTAGGTATTGAGGTGGCACAATCCAATGACGGTATTGTTATATCTCAAAAGAAGTATGCATAGATATTTTGGAGGAAACTGAATTAATGAATTCAAAAATTGTTGACACACCCATGGATCCTAATACTAAACTTCTACTAAAACAAGGAGAGTCTATGTCAAATCCTAAGAAATATAGAAGACTAGTTGAAAAATTGAATTACCTTACCGTTACTCGCTGACATTTCTTTGCAATTAATGTGATAAGCCAATTCCTTAATTCCCTGTGTGAAAATAATTGGAATGTAGTTATCCATAAATTTTGTAATTAATATTGAATTTTAAAATTTTAAGTTTAATTTAAAATAACTATGTTTATTTTTTCTTTTTTTTAATACATATACATATATTAAATTAAAGAAATAAAAAGAACTTAATCACTTCTCATTTTTAAAATTTAAACAACGCAAATATTACTTATTTTCTACTCTTCTTTCTTGTTATCTCCTTTTCTTTCTTTTCTTTTCCGGTGTTCATACATGCTCTTAGGTTTCTCATTAAGAGTAAACTATATCCTAATACATGGAAATCAGTAGTTTCTTCTAAGAAGGCAGGTACTTTGTAAGATTAAAACTGTTAAATTAGTTAACAAGAAAGTGGATGTTGAGAAATATAAAAAAGATGTGCTACGTGGAATAACATTAAATATTATTTAATTTCTAATTAAATTTACAACCTGGTTTTGCCAATAATATTTATTCTATCTGGACTGTAACTTCTTACTCCTATAGTCGTGTAAGATTATACAAGAAGATATCATGCGTCAAGAGACTAGATAATCATAATTTGTGGCTCTATAGTTTCTTATATTATGCAGATAATATGTATCTGTTGAAAACTATAATCTAAGAGTATAAGATATTACTCCTTTTTTTTCCGTATACGAGGATAATTGTAAAATATAAATAAGGCAATTCCCATAATTTAGTAATGAGAATATCCAACGACCTATTTTCCATTGAGGAGGACTTAATTTTTTGTAGAAATGAGGTGGTAAAGGGTTCTTAATTTTAGCATATTGAAATTGGATTCCCTTAAATTTGGTTTTGTATAAGTTGTCATTGTCACAGCTGAAATTTCGATCAGCTTCTGGCTTTGATTGTAGGGAAAAACGAACGAACCAAAAATGCAAGGAAGATGAGAAATGTTGGTTAGATAGAGCCCTTTTCTGACCATTGCCATCTTCATGAAACTTTTGTCAAAAACTGCCTAAAGTTTTTGAACCATTACCATTATCTTTCTTGAAACAGCAAAAGAAAACAAGCAGAAAGGCATATTTGCACACACTGAGAAGAAACCAAAAGCACATACCTCCCACCATCCTTTCAAGGGGGGTTCTCTTGGGATCGTTTCTTCAATTCCATCATACACACATTGCTGAATGTTCAACAGACAATGTTCAACAGCAAATCAATGTCGGTTTCTCGTCTTCCAGATTTTACTTGAGGTTAACTAATTCCAAAAGATAATTCAAACGCATCAAATTTTGTTCACTTGAGCATGTCCGGCGGCAAGGTGAAGGGCATTCTTAAAGGCTTTAGATACTTTACTCAAATATTTGGTAAGCATTTCCAATGCCTTTTTCTTACCATAATAAATTATTATTCTTTTTTTTTCTCTTAAAAAAATTTACATGACAGAGAGTGAAAAAGAACAAGAAATTCAGATCGGACTTCCCACAGATGTAAAGCACGTGGCTCATATAGGGTGGGATGGACCCTCCGTAAATTCTCCCAGCTGGGTAATTCTCAATTTTCTTATAAATATTTGATCTTGCAGAATATGAATGAGGCTTCACCAAATAAAGGGTTTGTTTGAGGGCTTCTTGTGTGTGTGTTTTCAGATGAACGAGTTTAAAACTTCTCCTACTGTAGATCTCCACAATAAAGGTCTAGAAAATGGAGTCAAACGAGTTGCCGAAGGTACATTTATTATTAATCGAGTTTAATTTAGGTATTATTATTATCATTATTCTCACTATAGCTAAAAATGTTTGCACATAGAATCAACGAGAAAAAATCTTCGAGGGTCATCAGATTTACCCAAGCCATCTAAAAGACAGTCAACGGGTGTTACGGATTCTCCGACAAGGGAAAAGACAAGCAAACCGCGAACGAGGAAAACGTCGCACCACAAGAACAAAGATGAGGTCGCACACTCACCCCGAATACCCGAATACCCGGATCCATTTCAACTACCTCCTCAACCCGTACCCTCACCCGATAATAATATTCCTAAAAAGTCTCGTCGCCAAAAGACAAAAGAGCATTCTGGTGGCGTCCCATCCAAATTGAGAACCAAAGCCCATTCTCCTTCGGATCCTGGATCCCCGGCCCAACCCCAACCCAAGTCTAGGAACACCCACACCACCTTTGATGAAACTGAACACGATCTTTTGCTCTAATGTAATGTTGTCCTATTAGTTTAGTGTTGTGCATAGATAACTCTTGAAGAAACCCTTCGTCCCATTTTTATATTTGTTATTATTACTATTATTATTTGTGTCCTTTTTGGCCTTCTCTATAGAGACAGACTATTGTATCATCACTCATTCTTCATATCATATGTAATCATTCTGGTTTCCACTAGTTTTTTCGTTTCAAACGCATCATAAAATTATTAACTTCCTATTTATAAGGCAAAGTAAAGTTAACAACCAATTTTGTTAAATAGAAAGAAATCAAGGGAACTAAAACTCTAATACTCCAATTTTAAATAGGCATGAAATAAATAATTTATATATTAAACTTCGAGTCTCCTACATTCTCTTCACTCCCATCACTTTACAACGTCAGAAATAAACATGTGGTTTTGTTGTTTACTGGTAAAAAAGAACTAACTTTCTCCTAAAGAGACAAAAAAGGACAAAACCCATTCTCTACACTTAGGAACAAACGGAAAACATCCTCAAAATCCCGTGAAGACAAGCACCCCAGCAGCTAAAGTAGCAAGACCAACCAACAAGGAAAGGGAATCAAAGCACAACAGAAAAGAAGCCCCACTGAAAACGACAGCATCAGGGACATCAGTTTTCTTGCAGGGTTTGAGTTGACCCAATCCATCACCACCACTTTCACACACCATTATATTCTCCAAACATAGCCCTCTGTTCCCTCCAACCTTCAGCTTCAGCTTTTGTCCTACTCTTGTTGACAATCTCACTCTCCCACTCAAATTGTTGTTCTCCAAGTTTATCTCACCACCATACTCCAAAAGCCCAAAAGGCACAGGCCCGTCAAGCTTATTGTTATCAAGCCCGAGATAAGACAAATTTTTCAAATATACACCCATTGAAACAGGGATGCTACCCACCAGACCCATCTCCGAAAGCCCCAATCTTTCAACACCCCCCATATTTTCCCATATTTCCGGAATCGCCCCGGAGAGAAGATTCCCATTCAGATACACTTCCTTCAACTTTGGGACCTCCCCCAGGAACAAAGGCACGCCGAAACTGTCGAAACGGTTGAAGCTTAAATCCAAAAACTCCAAACTCTGCAACCCTCTTAAACTCTCCGGGATTCTGCAACCAAAAGCGTTGAAGCTCAAATCAAGCTTCAAAAGCCGAGAGAGATTCCCAAGCGAGTCGGGTAAACAAGCTTCAAACTTGTTTCCACTGAGATCGAGAACTTTGAGCTGGTTGAGGAGCCCCAAACTGGAAGGAATTTCACCGCTAAGGTTGTTTCTGGATAGAGTAAGCTCTTCCAAGTTGAGGAAGGCAGCAATCTGAGACGGGAGCTGGCCGTGAAAAGCGTTTCCGATGAGAATAACTCTGCGGAGAGAGGTGAGGTTTTGAAGCAGAGAAGCCAGAGGTGAAATGAGAGAAGGGTTGTTGATGAAAACAAGTTCCTGGAGGGAGGAAGGAAAAGAGAAGGAAGGAGAGAGAGAAAGAGAGGCGTGGTTGAAGCAGTTGTAGAAGAAGAGTTTGCGGAGGTAGGGGAAGGAGTTGAAGAGATGAAAGTGGAGGGTGGCATTGGAGGAGCAAGGAGGGTTGGGGGTTTCGTCGGAAACGTAGCCGAAGCTGAGTTGGACGATGTGGGGCGTTTGGTTGAGTTGCGTAGGGTAGTCGCAAACGACGCCGTGCGGGGCGGAGAGGCAGAGGTCGTCGGGGAAGAGGGTGCGCCAGGAAATGGTGGGGTTGAGGGAGTGAAGAATCTGGTAGAGTGATTCTTGTTCGGAGGAGTCCAAAGGAAGTTGCTGGTGAGAGAGAGAGAAGAGGGTGGTTGTTAAGAGAAGAGAAAGGAGTATGGACAAGACAGCCATTTGGTGAGAGGAATGTTTTGTTCTGAGGTTGTTGGTTTGGTATTAGTATGAGGAATGTGGAATGTAGAATGCGCAGGCAGAGGAAAAAGACGAGAGAAAGAGAGACAGAAACCTGCTGAGGAAAGAAGCGACAGTGGTGCGCCGCACTCGCCGACTTAGTGTGTCGTGTTGTAGAAAGCGACTCGTAACGCCGTCTACCTACATTCCTTTTCCATTTCTATCCTTCTATAACATATAATAATATTAGACTCTTTATGCTCACTTTATTCTAATATTGGTATCAACTTACTAAAATTATAAACTTTTTTTTTTAATTAAACACAAAAAGACAAAAGTGATATACACATTTTTCGAAACCTTTTCATTGTATGGTTATTCCTTCCCTTTGTCATTCTGTGGGTCTTTTTACTTTAATGCCATCGCTTGATTTGGTTATTTTAAGAACTCGATTTAAAGAAAAAAAAAAATACGATGAAAGAGAATAAAATTGTGGATTTATTCGAGATAAAGTGAAAAAAATGAAAAAAAAAAAGAAAATTATAAAATGACATACTTATAAAATGATATTTTTTTATAAATTAATTTTAATCAGTTATTAAATTATAATTTAATTATTAATGTTAATAATAATGTTATTTTTATTTTTTATTATAGTTATTTTTATTAGTATTTAATGTATATACATTATTATTACTTTTAACTGCTTTTGTTTAATTATTTTTATTTTTTATTATAATTATTTTTTATATATATAATTAATAAAGAAAATATTTAAGTTTAATTGTTTATTTAGTCTTAAGTCTCAATTTCGTCTTTGTATAATTCATCAATCAATTTTTTTTTCTTAAGTTTACAGAAAACGAAATTAAATTGAGAAGTTTGCATATTTTTTTCTCCTTTTCTTCTTTTGCTCCTTTGACGTGCATCAATCATTAATTTATTCAATCTGTATTCTTTTCTAATACAGATACAACTCTGTTTTCAATTTCAATTTTCATTTTAAACATCATTTTAAAAAATATTACTTGAATATTATATTTAAAAATTTAACAATCGTATATGTCTTCATTGTTATTTTTTAATATGTTTTATGTTTAACTACTCTGTAATGTAAATGTCTCATGTATACATATTTTAACTTTATAATGTTTTATACTTAATTTTAAACTTAATTATACACACATTTTAAACTTAATTTTAAACTCAATATTTTTCAATTTAAAATATAAATTTATTTTTTATTTATAATTCGTCAAAATTATAATTATACTTTTATTTATATAATTTAAATATATAGAAATTTTAAATATAAATAGCGAAATGTTTTGGTAGAAAAAATTTCAAAAATCTAATATTTTGTATTTTTCGAAACATTTTCATTATATGGTTATTCCTTCCCTTTGTCATTCTTTGGGTCTCTTTACTTTAATGTCGTGGCCTTTTCAATCTTTTGTGGTTTGGTTATTTTAAGAATACGATTTAAAAAAAATAAAATACGATGAAAGAGAATAAATTGCGGAGTTATTCGAGATAAAGTGAAAGAAAAAAAATAAGAATAATTTGATATACATAATTATTTTCAAAGAAATTATAAAATGATCAAATTTGTTTTTATTATAGATTAATTTTAATCAGTTATTAAATAATAATTTAATTATTAATTTTAATAATAATGCTATTTTTATTTTTTATTATAATTACTTTTATTATTATTTAATGTATATACATTATTATCACTTTTAATTGCTTTTATGTAATTAATTTTATTTTTTATTATAATTATTTTCTTTTATATACATAATTAATAAAGGAAATATTATACTTCAAAACGAAATACTTAATCATAATTAATTATTCTTTTTCATAAAAAAAATAAATTTCTCAAGCTAGGTGATTCATATAGCAAAAAAAGAATCAAAATAATGCGAAAGTTAAATAGTTTAGCAGATGAATGTACACACA